TGAAAAGGTAATATATTCTCAGTTTAAAACTCAGAAAACATAAAAAGGCTAAAGATTCCCAGTTAAAAGATTCCCCAGTTTTYGTCCTTCATTTGCTTACTTTCTACCTCTTTCCCCAGGCCACAACAATGTAACCCTTGTCTTAATTTCCTTATTACCCTAAGTTTCTTATATTTTTATATTTGCTTATAATAGCAAATATAAAAAATTTTGTAGTGTGTTTACACACACTATTCTGCATCTTGTTTATTTTCACTTATTAGGCGTTAAGGTCTTTCCATGTTGAATCAAGACCTCCTCATTCATTGTTACTATGACATTATATCCCACTGCATGGACAGAGTTTATTTAACCACTCCCCTATTGATGGGCATTTGGGTTGTTTCTGGTGTTTTCCTATCACAAACACTGCTTCCAAGATTAACCTTTGTATCCATTACTTTGCATGTGGGTAAATTACCCAAAGAAGAGTTGTTAAGTCAGAAGTGTGTATGTACTTTTGTGATAGCTGATGCCAAATATTTCTCTGTGGGAGCTATTCTAATGTTCACTCTCATCAGTGTAGAGTATCTGCTCCCCCACATGCCAGAATGTCACCAAATTCTAGATGTTTTTGTCAGTATGGTAGGTGATAACTGGTATTCTTAATGGCATCTTAAGTTTTTTCTTATTATAGTGAATCTGAGCACTTTTTCATACATTTAGAGCCATTTTTGTTTTCTTTTAATTCTCTATTCCTGGTCTTTGCCCATTTTTCTATGGCAGTGGTATTCTGGAGCTTGGCTTGTAGCAGTTCAAAAAAGCCGGTTGTTAAATTTTTAGGAATTTTGTAAGATTTCTAAAATCACGTTCCATAGCCTCAAATGGACCATGGCGGCAATAGTTGCACCATGGTAATTGGAAAACATTGCAAATCAGTGGGACATCCCTCCACTTATTCTTAAACCAGCATGCCACTGGTTGTAGGACTTATTATTAATTCTTAGGACCCCTTTATATATTAAAGAAATGAGCCCTTTGTGATACAAATTGCAAAAAGTTTTTCCTAATTTCACTTTTTCTTGAATTTGCTCATGGTTTTCTTTTTTTGACATGCTTGGATTTAAAAAATATTAAGTAATTTATTGATTTATTAATTCCCGCCACTGGGGATCGATCCTGGGGTTTCACACATGCTAAGCAAGTATTCTACCACTCAGCTACACTTTCAGTCTTTTTTTACTTCTTTTAGATCATAGAAAGTTTTTCACTGTGTTACAAAGAATTATTTCCATGTGTCCTTTTAGAACATTTGTGGTTTCACAAATTTCACATTTAAAAAAAAAATTAGTTGTAGATGGACACAATGCCTTTATTTAATTCATTTGTTTTTATGCAGTGCTGAGGATCAAACCCAGTTCCTCACATGTGCTTGGCAAGCACTCTACCACTGAGCTACACCCCAGCCCTTGCATTTTAATCTTAGGTTCATTTGCTGTTTTTAATGATACAAAGTGTGAAATATGATCCCATTCATTTTTCCAAAGCAAAATATTATCAAATGAAATTCTTAGTGTATATTTTTTAAATGTAGGACAATGTGCTGAACTCCTATCAGGTTTTGTGGGGTGAAGCAAAAACAAAGCTTAGAGGGAAATTCATAGTCTTAAATTTATATTAGAAGAGACTAATTTAGGAGTTGAATTTCAGTCTATTAGAAAAGCAAACAAGGGGCTGGGGATGTGGCTCAAGCGGTAGCGCGCTCGCCTGGCATCCGTGCGGCC